CAAATGGAAAGTACAAAAAAATACTAAAAATATATTCCAGGATTTTCATAACATTTTTCGCAGAGTAAAGTTAGAATCGAAAGATAGACCTCAAAAGACGAAATTTAAATGAAAAAGAGTTTCCCAGCCGTTGCTACTTAAGTGCCATATATCTCCATATTACTCGATAATTTGCTGCTATAATTGGATAGCGAAGATCCACATATATTAAAGAAGATGTTCGCTCAAATCGGACGACTATCGAACAACTATTTCATACCAACATCACATAACATTTTTCGTTCGGTCTTCTACGTAACGCATAACCGTTTCTCCCATAAGGATAATGGAAATATCAGCTGTCCACTTACCACTCCTATTTGATTGCGATATTCCTTGGTGTTGCCCAAGTTTTCACGATTATATACATTGCTTCTACTTATAAATGCACTTATTTTCATGCCTACAATAAGGGAAAATAAAAAGTATATGCATATATTGGTGTTGATGAGTCACTGATAAAAAAATTTGCGAATATTCTCCTATAATCTTTTATTTAATAACTGTACAATATCAACTTTAATAATCTAGAAGTTTCTTCACTCAAATAAAAATAAAAACTAAGATAAAATGAATTTTTTATACAAATGTTTTTGAATACGAAAATTCACTCGAACCGTATTGAGCTATTAAAATTATAATTTTTGATAAATAAATTTCTTTTAGAAGAATATTAATATTAATGACAAATATTAAGATTGATTTATATTTAATAAATTAAATAAATTATATGTTATTAGATTTATTAAATTAGATATAAATTTGAGTCAATGCGATTATTATATAATACGCTTAATTAATTTATTTAGTTGAATAATTAATTAAATAATTTTTTTTTCATATTGATATAATTAAACATATATTCATATACTATTTTAAATTATTAATCCGACAATATTAATAGTTATACCTCCTATTATATTTCTCTTTTATTGTATTACAGTAGCAAGAATATCAATTTTCGAAGACATATTATCAATATCATTTTACATGTTGTATTATTTTCAGAGACAATGAATATTAACTATAAAATCATTTGATATATTATATTACGTTATGTCCACATTATATATTATACTACCCATATACTAACGTATAATGAAACACATTATGTAATATAATGCAGCGGTTAATAGGATACGACAAGTTATGTAAGAAAACTATTTATATTTGGCAATAGTAGTATGAATATCAGGTATAAAATTGTACAATATAACAATATTATTATTCAAATACTGAAATATTATTAACGATATAGAAAATTACGATAATGAAAAATTTATCATACAAAGTTATAGTTATAAACTGTATAAATTATTATTTAAGTATTAATAATTATCAATAATTATGAATAGACAGTTTGCAGTATTTATTACTATATATAGTGAAGTATAGTTTGCAAGAGTCTATGTTAAAGAATGACTTTAATAAATTATTTAGAATCTCATATATTTTGATGATTAGTATACCAGACAAGATTATTACATTATGGTAAAATTATTTCGTTTCTCAATAATTGTTTTAAAACAAATTTTATTATCTATGACTTACTCATTACTTTATTAACTTACTTGCTTATGTAATTAATTGAATGCAAGTTTAATTTAATATAAAAATTCAGTTCTAAGAGTATACACTCATAAGATATATTTAAACATATATTTACATTTTTGTATTTTTTATTCAGCATTTACAGCAGAAAAATTAAATTTTATATTCGAACAATTTACATATAATTTTTAAACAATCATATCTAGCCACAAAAATTTTAGATTTAAAAAATAATATTTATGCAAACATTATGAATACAATATATATGGGAAGAAAAATATTTAATATTAAATATTATTAAGCAAAATATATCACACCATATTAAAGTTTATAAATTAAAGTTTAGAGAACAAAAAGACAGAAAGAGAGAGAGAGAGAGAGAGAGAGAGAAAGTATTTGTTTGAGAAAGATATAGATAGAGACTTTAGGATATACAATGAGGTAGCGGCAGAATACAAACTATACATTTCGAAGTGCCAATTGATTACATCCGAATAGCGCGCAAGTAATTATCTTTGGTTATCCTTTAATCCAGCCGATCATTCGGTGATACCTCTAGTGATTGATTTTCTGAATAAAAACTATTCTATTCTCGTTAAATTTATCTATATTGCATCATAAATCGCCATTAAAATTGAATACTAGGAATTATTACGAATTATCACTTAATCTAGATTTCAATTAAAATGCATATAAAAAAATTTAAACTTCCATTTGTTCCTCAAAAGTACTTGACTTACTTTTATTTTCTCATTAAAATACTTTAATATAAAAGCAGTTTTTATTTAAGTAGACTGCTACAGTAAGATTATAACTTTGTTTAATTTTGTTTGTAACCTTTATAATAAAATTTATAGATTATGAAAAATTTTTTCTATTTTCCATGGATTTATTTCAATTGATAACATTTGTTGGTAGATATTAAAATAAATAAATAAAAGTTACCGGTGAATAATATTTTATTTTTTAATAGTACAAATAAAAATTTTTAATAATTTTAATTTTCATTATCGGTTCCAATATGTGTAAAGCAGTTACAAAATATTTGCATTATTAATTTTATAAATCGATGCATTATATAAATTTATATGAAAGCTTTATCGAATATTTTTTAATTATAGAAAAGTTTACTTTCATTTATTTTGAAAAGAATTTTTGTAGAAATTGAATAATTCAATAGTTTTTATTTTTCAGATATAAATATGAGATATAAATTATATCAGCATCCATTTTGTTAAATAAAGTTAAATTATGAACTGTGTATTTATGGATCGGCGTTCTATTCTATCTTTAATCGTAATCACACGAATTGAATTATACTGCAAATTTAGTTATAACTAAGAAAACTAAATTTTTATATAGAGGAGTTTTATTATTATCTTTTATTTAAACTATTTTGTATACCTTTTAAATAAATATATTGAGAAAAGTGAAATATAATAATTAATGAAAAAATTATTAGAAATTTGTTGATCCAATTATTAAATCTATTTACATGAAATAATCGTTCGATATGTTGATGAATATTTTTAATTATTGATTAAAACTCTAATTGTAGCAAAAATTAAAATATTACATTTTCTATCAGTTTTATTTAGTTATTAATTAAATAGGAAAAATTATGGATTCGTGTCAACAATTAACTGATTAAAAATTACAATATAAATTTGTTACATTTTAGTGAATAATTTAATTTTTTAGTTTTAATACGCATTTGCTCCCATTTTTTATTTTAAACACAAGAACTGTATTACTTCATTTTTTTCATACTTCATTACTTTTTTAAAGTTTACATATTATTCATTGGTAATTTTGAAAATTGTTCGGCATTATTTGCCATTCGATATAGCTTTATACAATAATTGCATATATTGCATGTAGTCAATACATAAGGTATTTTTCAAAATAGAATTAATTTATTATGACATTATAAATATATGTATATATATATATATATATAACTTGAAATTTAATAATTTGAATTTTAAAAGAATGTAAACATTTTAATATTTAGACATGGAAATACCTATTTATTGATTAATTACCTATTATTGATTAATAAAGTTAATTTTTGAGTAGTATGCAATTGTAAAGGTTAAAGCAAATGTTAATTATAAAATACTTTTAAAATTTTTAACATTGATGCCAAAATTAACACTATTAAAATTTTCAATATTCGGGTAATGGATATAATTATACTTTTATATTGATAGGCGTATACATATTTATATATTTAATATGAATAGTATTGGAAATACTATATTTAATACGACTAGTATTGGAAATAATTTTGAAGCATCCTAAAATTATATATAATTTCATTGTGGATTTCATTTATTCCTTATATATGTCAATTTGATAAGAGAGTATCGCTCTTATATACGAGTTCCTAGCAATATACATATATAAAACTGTATTCGGTGTCGTCACATCCCTCGTCCAAATCGTCTACGTACGCTTTAGGGAGATTAATCGCGCGAGGACGAAAGTTTAATTTAATTTCAACTCGCGCTTGCGCCCGTCTCATTTACTGCGAACGGTCCGCGTTCCCCTTCCCACCTCCCTCCCGCCACGCCTAGGCCCTTTGCCGCCTTTCCACTATCCAGCTGCTCGTATCCGCATATTATTTCCCAGCATACCGAATTTCAAACTTTAATTCGCACATCCGGACGAGTTCCTTCCTGCCTGGAAGGTATGAAGCAAACTTTGGATACGATTTCTCTTGGTTGAGTGTTTTTCGAGTTCAGGTGACTGTCATAGCGTATAATACATTTGAAGGCTACTTTTTTCCGCCTTTGAATAATTCTCAATTTTTAATAGAGGCTGTTAGATTGTACCATATGGCTTAGACTTAAAACAATTTAAAATAAATTATTCATACTCGAGTGAAGATAAATAAATTTTTATTAATTTATTTGCCTTTCACTTCCCAACCATGCCATTACATTTTACATCACAACATTTACGTCATTTTTAATGAAAGATCATTAATTTTTGTTATTAATACTTCATTCACTTGTTACTATATTAGATATATGATATGAAGATAAACTTTTGTCATGAATCCATAGATACATAAATTATTTAGTCTGATGTTGGATCAGTATCAAATTTTACAGTTATACATTTATTTTCTAATCATTTTTATAAATTGAGGTATCTACTTTTACAACTACACCTCGATAAGTTTAGCTCCATTATCATTAAGCACTTTTAACGGTGCAATACTTTAGAATTCTGTATTTCTTTAATTTTCGAAATTTCGTACGAATGAAGAATGCTTAATCATTAGTGAAATAAAGATTAAAACCTTCACCTCTCATTATTATTGTATTATTAATTTATCTAATTATTTATGAATTTATCTCATTAATTTTATGTACTTTAAAGTACTCCATTAAATTGCTTACCGGTGTGATCCTCTTGCGACTGATTCTTCTGCCTGTGATGAACACGATGATGATGAATGCTCGGAATGGGAAGCTGTTTAAGAGCATGGAGGTCTTGATGATCGGCGTCTATAAGTGGATTCTCCACTTGCGATTCAATAAGCTCATGTATTGTTGTATTGTCGGCATTCGATATGACATTTACTGAAAATTCAAGGGAAATGATATTGATTACGGTTGTAAAGTTTTTCAGATCAAATCCTATAATATTTATGAATATACCTTATGTCGCCATTTATAATTATAATAATCAATTATAATGGTACTTTAATCTTGATTTATTTCGATTTGTTGTAAAAAATATTAAAAATACAATAAAAAACTAAATCAAGATTATTTTACAAAGCACAAATCTGATTAATGAAATCTAATTTACATATTTAATGTCACGCCTATCGCATCGCTTTTCTAAAGAATATCGATATGGAATATTCGTATGATTAAATGTGGTGGCCCATTAGCATGATTGAAGCTTGTAACTTTCTGAGTATTTACAAGATTCTATCAAGTACATAGATTCTAACAATCAATAAGACAACCGCAACTAACGAAATGGCCAATGAACGCGTATGCAGAACCGAAGTCCGAACCTACATTTCATTATCAGTTGCGTAGTAAAATATTGGCTAGCAGCCAAAGCAATATGAATATAATCCACATTGACTTTTGCCGAACCTACTATTTTATTTAAAATGTTTTGTATTTGAAGATTGGCCAATCCGTGAACTTTATCCTCCTCCTTTTACCTTATCGGCATGCCATTCCAGCAGCAATGTTGTATGATCAAATGTATGATTATTCGTTGAAATTACCTATGCAGTTTTCATGTAAATATTCGGTATGATCTCATATAGCATTACGAGAACGTTGTTAAGTACTTATGATGATGCGCTTTAAATTAATAAATTAATTATTGGCTCTTTTTTGTTTATTTTCAATAAGAATATTTTTATGTTAAGCTTTCATTTATTAATTTAAATACTGTATATATTTCTTATATAGAGTATGAATATATTGAAAAACTTTATTTAAATTAAATTTTAAATATTATGTTTTTTTATAAATAGTATATTTTTTTATACCTTATACTTAGAATTCGTATTATTTATTTTTTTTTTTTGTTTCTGTACAATTCACATCCTATATAAGATATTTGAAAGAATATGTATATTAAGTTTATTGGCTAATCTATAATCTAAATAATATTTTTGTTAATACGAATAAATAGCGATTAAACGAATAAGACTTTCAATGATCCTATAATTTTTAAGATTTTAATATTATTTAAAGTAACAATTAGTATTAAGATTCGAAACAGTACTATGAATGTATTTATTTTGCTAATGCTGAAATTAAAATTCTATTAAAAAATAAAAAACTAGAAACATTATTATAGATTTATTTGTAAAAAGAAACTGATATTATTAAGATTGGAGCATTTGTATTGCTGATAAAAATGTTTAAAGCATGAAGTTATAATGAGAGAGAAAATTTTTTAAATGAAATAATTCATCCGTACTTTTTACATTCGGCTTTTCTTTTATCTTTCTTTTCTTTTTTTTAATATTAAATAAAATATGTAACGTAAGTGGGCTGCAATATAACTACTTACGCTTATTACATTCAATTCCCAAAAGCTTTAAGCGCATCATCGTACTTATCTCATAGGCAGGCCTGTTGCAGACTCCAAGCAGTGCTTGAAAACTTACGAACCTGAGTCGACAAAGCCGTCGAAGGCTTCGCGCAGGTCAGATAGCCGATCGAGAGGCAGCTGGGCGATCCTGAGCTCGTCCAGCCCGCCGAGTTCTTCGTTGACGCGTTCGTAAGTAGTGCTGTGCTCGTACGTCGGCCTCGAGGCGAATATCCTGCGACCGGCAACGCTTATTGCTCCATACCGGCGGTGATCGAGTGTATATTCGTCTATGGTCGTGGGTGTGGATGATGCAGGAGGTAGTGCAAGTGCAGGTTGTTGAGGTAGTGCACCGGGTCGTAGTTGCGGATTCCGATCGCGGTTGTGCTGATTGTGATGGTGGCGGTGCTGGTTATGGTGGCGGTGCTTGTAGCTCTCATCATAGCCATTGACATGCTGGCTTTTGTGCTCGGTGGAGGTAGTGCCGATGGATTCACGATCATGCTTGAGGGGATACGTGGATGTTGCACGAAACACAGATGGCAAGGATTTTTTTGTAGATGAGAAAGAAGAAGTAAAAGATGTCGTGTGAGAAGTAGGGGTGGGAGCAGTGGGATATTGGAAACGTCGTGGCTCGGACCTCACGTGTAACCACTGGGTCTCCCAGTGGTTGTTCTGGTACACCCTGATCGCGGACGAGGAATCCTGAAGATCCGGGGGCACGGAATGAGGATAGAGGAAGATCTTAGGCCTACCGGCTATGTGATCGGGTGCCATTATACCATCCCCGTGCTGCAAATGGCGTAACTGCTGCTTCTCAAGGGACGAGGCGAGATCGAGGTCGAGCTCGTAGTATGCTGAGGAGAGGCGGGGCCCGGCCGTACCGGGAAACAAGAAATAGGGATATATACTGGTAGGGGGTAACCAGATCTCTTGGAAGTTCGTGTCCTCGTGAGGTTCAAACGGGTAGACGGCCAAGTCCGTGCCCGAAAGATCAACGGACGCGGACGAGGGCAGATACTCTGAAACACACAAGCAGAGAGCCGCCCGTGATGGATTGTGATATCATGCTCGAGAATCGTTGTACTTTCTTTTCTTTTTTTTATAAGTGGTGTTTGGATATGAGGTGGTGTTTATTCTTGATCAAGGTTGAGTGTTTTTCTTCCACGAGTACGGGGTTTGTTGATTTTACGGGCTCAGATTTTTTGAATAATTGTGTAGTGAAGTTGACAGTGGATTTTTAAATAATATCAAAACGCAAATTTAAAAGTAAGAGTAGCGTAAGATAAAATATAAATTAAAAGTTTAAAAGAGTTAGAAAACTCGAATGAATTATTTGATGCCAATAATTAATTTAGAAACCATTACACTCTCTTGAAATATCGACATTTACAACGAAGTAAGCTAATCGAGAAAAATTAATAAAATATAAATTCGACAATCAAGTTGATCTATAATGGTGATTTCAAAAGATAAAAATATTACGTGCAAATAATAGGGCATCCAAAACGAAAATCCATGTCAAGATAGAAGAAATTAGAAGATATGAAAATAAGTGCGAGGGTAAGTCATCAAGTAAATTTTCCAACTTGATATGATAATTAAGGAAAAGTAAATGAAGTTGAATCGCAAAGATGGAAAAGACCTGAACAGAAAGGATGTAAAGAGAAAGTTAAAAAACTTAAGAAAGAAGTAAAGATCAGAGTGGAATGTATCCAACTAAGGAGCGCAAAAACAGCAAAGCAAATTCCTTTAAGAAGATTCACTTCGATGGACTGTACGTACATGCTTAGCTAGGTAAAGTTCATCTTCTGTGAATCAGAATCATAGAGCATAGGAAGAAATACACAAAGAGATAATATGGGAGGGAGAAGAAAAAGGGGCTGTTTGCTCGCACGTTGTTTCGCGTGAGCGATTACAGTCACCTTTTCTATTCGTCCTCCTCAACTATTTGTTGACATGAAAAGCTACTACAGAAATCACGCATATATCTCGAAATACAAATATGTACCTAAAGCAACAGCAGCAATTACTTTCCAACTCTAGTCGACCGCGAATTTTGCATCCTGGTGCAGTTCGTTTAACCTATAACTTTCCAAATACCTGAGCGTGTACACGCGCATTCCTTTGATTTCGAACCTTTTTGACTGTTAAATCCCTCTCCTTCGATCTCGATCACATTTTTCAAAAATATTTTTTTACTTTTCTCTTAACCCCTCACTCTCTCTCTCTCTCTCTCTCTTTCTCATCCTCCTCCCTTTAAATTGATTTATTCAAGAAATAATGATGAGTAAAAAAATTGCCCTGAGTGAAATCGAGAGATTTTATAAACAAAGTTAGTCTATTGTGCCTTATTAGTAATTTGATAAAGACTATCAATATTATAGAAAATGTATATAGCGAAGGTATTTGATGGAATATTAAGAAATTTTTAAAAGTTTACTTGAAGATTTATATTTATAATATTAAGATTTACTTAGAAATTACACAAAATAATGAAAATCTGCATTCGATTTTTTTATACTTATTATTCTAGTATCGCACATAGCGATAGAAAAGTTTTTCGTTTAAGAAAATGGTTCTTATGAGAAGATTGTTAAAGTACTATAAGATATCATAGAAGTACGAGAAAATTTGAAAATTTTGATATATAAAGATAAGGAATTTGAAGATAAAATTTTTAACTCGACGAATAACAGCTTATTGCTGAATTATTATTTCAGTTTATAATAACAAATTGAAGATCTATCTCCACTATACAATAAATAGAACCAAATGTTTAATTAAATAAAAAAATTAATTTGAGGTGAAATGAAATATTTGAATTGGTTATAATGAAAACATTTTGGTGGTCATGTAATGAAGAAAAAGAGTGCTGGTTAATTGTTGACTCAATCCAAGCAAATGACAACTAATTTACAACTTTTTATTGTAAATTATGATTATACTTTGACTCTGCAACATAAGATAAGTAGTGTGCATAATATACATTTAGAGGCGTTATAAATTGAGAAAGACATTCAGAAATTTAACTACAACTAATATTAAATCTGTGATACATTTGACTAATAGCATGCGGTGCAGAATTTCAGTGTACCTTGCCCCTCTTCATTTCAGTTCAAAATTGAAGAGAAGTTGAAGAGGGAAGAATCTTTCTTCCTCCCTTCACTTTTTCAGTTTTCGTCCTTTTAGCAAATGTTCTCGATTGATTAACTTGTCAACGATTATCGACGAGTCATCTTGATGATTATTTCACTTATATTTAAATGTAATTAATTTATGAATAAGAAATAAATAATTGCTTTTACATTGGTTTCTAATTTAATACAATTAATTGATACTACATATGGTATAAAATACGATATGTAAAGCAATAAATATAGTTTAAATATATACAATATAAGATAAATCCCAATATTGTCTTACAAAATATTTTTTATTTTTAGAAAAATAGTTGTAAGGCAAGGTACATATAATTTGAGCAATCAGTGCGGAAGCAAGTGAAGCATCCTTAAATGAAATGATATCTTCTTTCGCCAGAATTTTCTTCTTCGTTGTAATCGCTTTGTACGGGCGCTGATTCATTATAAATTGTACATTCTCTTTTAGTTGGTCTAATAGGAATTACATTTTGATGAAAATTTCCCTTATACATTTTTAATATATTACTTTTATTATATATCCATATACATTGTAATGTACTAAAAATGCTTAGTTGCCGGTAAAATTATTTCAAATTTTACATACATTAATACAACTGAATTCTTTGTACAAATTAATTAATTATCATAAACAACAATATACACATTGATTTTAAACGTGTTAAAAAAAAAATTATTTTTTTTTACGTGTATGGGATAAAACACACAAAAATTTTTTTGAACACTTTTAAAAAGTTTGTTTTCTTCTTTTTCATTAATTTAAATCCAGTAAAATATTATTATATTACTACATAAATATTATATATAACATAATTTTTATCAATACATTTTTCTGAATTATAGATACGTTAAAACTATGTAATTAATCTGTGAAGTATTTATTCATTTTTATTATTAATAATAAATTTAATTACCTACAGAATTGTATTATCGAAAATATTCCTTTAGTACAAAGTTTTATAATTGTATTACTGTCTTTATTTCATATCTTATTTATATTTTGAAATTAAAAAATCAATAACATTTATGAAGTAAATATTGAATATTTATTGCATAAAAAATTATGTATATATTTAAAAATATTGAAAAAAAAGTTTCATATTTGCGAACATATTATGTAAATTCTTTATTAAGACTTTTTTTTTTAATACATTTTTTAAACTTTTAGGAGTAAGCTTACTGTCAAAATTTGAAAAATTGATCATACAAACAATATTCTATTTTATTATTACAATTTTAAATAAAAATTGAATTTGTAAATCTAAAATTTATATTGTCTGATAGAATAAAAAAAGGAAAATTGTGTATGCTTATATTATTATAAAGCGTTTCATAGTCAATTTATAAGTCATATATTGTTTACGCATCACAACAACAGACCATGAATGTCATTTGGGAAACTCTAGTACTAGGATACAAAAACATTAAGAAAAGGTTGGCAGTATTATGTTTGATTATCACCCAAGTTTCCATGTAGCTTTCGGTAGTGGTTGGTGAGAAAACAATGAAGAGGCGGAGTAGAGACAAAATGAAAGTGGTGTGGCACGCTTTAAGGATCCCTCTCACTTGAGAGTACTTTGGTTCGTTAACGCACGCGAAAGACCTCATTTAACAAATAATAAAAGTAATAAAACATACAAAACTATAATTTTAGAAATATATGTTCAATAATAAAACAATATAGTAAATTTAATCGGCAAATTTAGTCATTAGAGTAATGACTGAATCTGATGATTCTGATTATTTTTAAATCTTAACCATTACGCAATGAATTTTATCTGAATAGTGATTTTACGTTATAATGAATTGAATATTAATTACCGTATCTGGGATAAAGAAGAATTAGAAGTATTTATACTTAGGTATCGAAGAATATTGTTTCAATGACGTGAATCGTGAACTAGTGCAACAATGAAATAAAATAGGAAGAAATTTTATATTGAATTTTTATTGTATACAGAATAAATTTATACAAATTTATATATAAATATATATATATATATATATATATAAGATAACAATTAATACATTTTATTGAATCACACTAAATGATTATATATTAATATAACAAAACTTTATTATGAAAATAATCTATTTCGCAATATGTTGAATTTCATTTAAAAATATATATTCAAACATCTTATTTTCACAATTAAATTATTATTTAAAAAATTTTAATGAAACTAGCCAATTATAAATAAATACTTTTAATAATTTTTACATGGGCAGCTACATTTATTAATAAGCACTTTGTTAACAATGTAGAAAATACCAAACGAGAATTCGTTACTCATTTGCTCTATTCCTCTTTGTAAAAAAAAAAACGAAAAATTCGATTGAATTCGCCAATTACGTAACTAATAATAAAATTATTTTATTGAAAAGTATATAAAAAACGTATATTACGGAGTGACAAAAAGTCGTCAAAATACATATATTTAATTACATATTAGGTGCTATTCATGATTCTATGAATAAATTCGAATAAATATTGTTTTGAAACATAAATATACAGAATACACTAAACAATTTATATAATAGAGAATTATAGAGAATTTTCCTGAAAACCAATAGCTTAGCTCTGTCCGTTTTACATGCGATAGATATAAAGACGTCCGGGATTTACAGATTGGTGAACAAATTCAGTGAAAGCATTAAGTATTTTACCAGCTGTTATGTTAATTGAAATTTTGCAATGTTATACATACCGCAAGGAATGTGCAATTTGAATAGAGGAATAACAAAAACAACAATCATTGATCACATCACTTCTAAGTCCCTTTCACTTTCGTACTCTTTATCCTCTCTCTCGCTTTCTCTCTCTCTCTCTCTCTCTCTCTCTCTCTCTCTCTCACACTCACTCACTATCTATCTCTATATTCCTTCCGTAATAGCTGAAAGTGTACAAGTGTATGGCTGGTTTGCACCTTGAAATTGAAAAGCCTCTATTTCGCTTACCAAATACATTCAAATTATGTAACACTTTGGATTAATCTCTATGTGTAAAAAATTACAGTATTAAAAATTATTTCAACTATATTATAAACATCCATATGTTCATAAAGTATGGAATTAGAAACTTGAATAACATTTCAAATCTAGAACTTAATTTAATCTTGAGAACAACCGACCAAATGGATTGATTTTTTTTATTACAGTGTAAATTGAGTTATCTTCGATTCAAGTAAGTTCAATAAATTCAATAAATTCAATTAAGCTAATTAGATGTAAAATAAACATTGTAATAAACATATATTTCGTAAAGTAAGTTCAGCATTAGGCTAACTTTATATACAAAGCATTTTTGTTTTGTTTATATACAAAGTATTGGCATTTTAATAGTTTTTTAGAAACAATTTTTAAATATTGAACAAAACTGCCTTTGAAAGTTCTTTTTAATACAAAATTTGAATAATCGCACTCCAAATTTTTTTTTACAAACTGAAATTTTCAAATTTTCTATCTTTTCCCTTGCACTCAATGTTTTTAATTTTTAAAAATGTTGCTTAAAAATTAAAATTGTGTTAACCAAATAGTTGAAGTGAACTCGTGTCTTTTCAACACGTGTTTTCAACCCTTTATTCCAAGTGATTTCTAAAAGCATAAAGCATGAAGCGATCCACATGTTTTAGCTTGTGCTAATATATATATATGAAACATATATGTGAAAAATTGTGATTAATATCATCGTTGAGATTTAACCAATCGATTAAAAAGTTTTTATGCTTAATCCTTTTGGTACATGGAGATTTTAAATTTAGGATAGTTGAATTTTGAGGGACAATATTTTGTGTCTTTAGGTGGCCGACACAGAGAATTATATAAATGATTTTATATTAATATTAATAATACATTAAATTCTATTAATTATACATTTAGAATGAATAAAGTTCTTAATAAAAGTAAGCGTTATAACTGCGAATAAAAATTTTACAAGAGTAACTGCATTCAACAATAGTTACTCTAATTGTTAAACGTTTTATTTGAATTCATAGAAGTTTGAAACAAAAACACGTGAAGCCACAATCGCAATGTTAGCACTAATTAACGATGACCCTGTATGATGATTTGCACTTTATTATCCGCATTGCACGGAAGCAACGATAAAGACATTAATTATGGCACTTGAGTGCGTGAAGTGGAAGTCGAACGGAGAGTTAAACAGGTCGTAGGGCAAAGACAAGATATGTGGTAATAAGAAAAAAAGTGGGAGCTGCGATGAAGAAATGAATTATTAGGTTACGTAGTGTAGACGAGGGGTGAAACTCGTCCGCAATCGTGCCGGTAATTAACAGGCGACGCCGAAATTAAGGTCGAGCCGATAAAGTCGTGCGCACATTATCACAATCGCGATAGGCTTAACACTAATTAAGGAAAACTCAGTATTGAAATATACTTGCATACATTTGGATGATTTATACAGATAGAATATGTGTTGATATGCTTATGATACTTATCCGTTATACGTTATATATACTATAATCTGCGTCGATAATACTTTACTTACAAAAATTAATATAATAAATAAAACAAAAATTAAGATAATACTTTACTAAACTTACAAACATTCGACTAGACTCAAAATGCTATTTAAGATGTAATTTTATTTTATACTGTAGTTATCTAAATAAAATTATACGTAGATTAGTAGATTATCAATACATATATTCACAATTCAAAATATGTCATTAAGTAAATAATGCTTGAACGTAATTATATTTATTCTATATCTCTCCTAACACTACCAGTTAAACATTTTTAAATTAAATTATATAATATATTAACAAAAATAATTTCATAAATACTTTAATAAAAATTATATTTTATTTTAATGTAAGTTAAATTTAATTTAACTAAATTTTTAAGGAAATTATGTATAAAGTTTTAGTTATAAACATTAATTTATAAAATTCTTAATACAAATTATATAATAATAACGATCAATGTGGGTCTGATATTAGAGTATTATAATAGCAAAATTTATATATTATACAATATTTCAAATTTTGACTTAAAAATTTGTAAATTTTCTAGTAAATTTTGTAAATTGTTTAGCAGTTGTTTTCATACTGTGAAACAGTATTAATAGATTAATTTATTAATTAAAGTAATACGAAACCTAATATATATATATATATATATATATATATATATATATATATATATATAATGTAAATAAATATAAAAGAATACATTTGTAGCAATATTTTAACGATTTGTGTTCTTTACCTAACTATAATTGATGCGCTTGGATATTTACAATTATGAATTTATTATATTATATAATATTATTACAATTTAGAAAGTTATTTAAGGAATGATTTCTTATTTAAATACCATATAGTATACTTCATACTACTGTCATTGTAAAACTGTACAATATATTTTATAAATATGAATTAGCTGTTGAATTAATAATTTAATGATTTCACAGTATTATATTTAAATAAAAATATTTACATTTCTATTCAGTATCATTATTCATTCTATTATTTTTTTAATAAGTCGCTTTACATACATATATTAAAATACATGTTCCTCTGAAAATGCCCAAAGGTTCATACAATCATCAAGGGTTAATAATATACTTCTAAAATAGTAATTAGCATACAATTAAATTATTTGAATCTACTCGTCATAATAATTTGTTTTAAGAATTTCTATAATGAGAAATAGAGTAAAATAAGATTTTATAATACATAATTTATACAATAATAATAATTACAACAACAATAATAATGATTCAAAATTAAATTAACAATTTACAGTACCATTCCATGTCAACAATAAACAAAATAATAAAAAAATTAATGATATTAAACAATATTTATATAGCGCATTACTTAATTATCATTAAGATAAATTTTACTTGTAAGCTTTTGATTAAAATGCAAGTAATAAAATAAAATACTTTGTAAAAAAAGATTCTACAATATATACATACGGAAATAAATGAAGACGTTAAAACACTATAAATAAAAGTCACGTGTGATATTCACTGTATATATATATATATATATATATATATATATATATATATATATATATACACTGTTATTTATACATGACATTAATAAATAAAAAGACAAAGATATCGCACGCATAATAAAGTTTTATGTATAAACAAAATTGAACATACACCGACACTTAAATGGCACATGTCACACATTCATTTTTTGTAGCTATTTATTTTTTGCTGTTGCTGTTGTAGATGAATTAAAAAAATATATAAAATAGAGTTACCTTTCATTTTCATGTACTCACCGACGCAAGGATTATGATTCACCATGGAGAAAATCCTATCACAGCGCTTCTTCGCACCGTTGTCCGGACAAATGCAACCAAACATCGGAGAGAGCCGCAACTGCGTCCAAGCCTCGTGACATGCGTCGCTGAACAAAACCAAAATAAAAATATATTTACATTAGTATTTTAATATTAAATTTGTTGGCATTACAAGCAGTTACAAATTGTTCTTTCAAGTACTCATAAAATTTCCCTCAATTTTTTATATACACGAATTCATTTTTATAACTACTAGAGGCAATTTCATGATTTCAACAAAAAAGCACCAATATTATTAATGGCACGTATAAAAAAGTTTTGGATATATTGATTTGAATAATAGTATTTGCATTTTTTATGTATTTCTACGCATAAAAATTATATGTTTAAAAAGAATGAACTCGGATTTTAATTGATTTTTTGTATACATTTCAATATATTGAAATACGTATTATTAATTATTATTGTTCTTTTAAGTTTTTGTTACTATAATAGTAAATTATATAATTACATAATAAGAAAATTAATATTTTGCATTCAAATTTTTTTGATATAAGGTTCAGCTAATAAATATGTATTAAAACACGAATTATTTACTAGAGTTTTAAATAATTGAAAATAGACCACGAGAGAGAGAGAGAGAGAATTTTATCTTAATTTATTAAATTTTATTTCTTTACTGCATTTGTATGACGTTTGTATTCGTATTTATTAAAAACAGCAGGGAACAAAATTATCTGAAAAATAAATTGCATTACTTCATTTTCGTAAAATATGAGTAGGAATACGTCATGGAAAGTATATTCATATTCTTCTATAATTTAAGAAAGATTTGAATTTGTATTTATGACTATTTAATATTGTAAATAGGTTTAGTAATTAAAATTCTAAATAAATATAATAATTTTTTTTATTATACTTCATTTCAATTAGTAAATTAAAATTGTATAATCATGATTTTTCATTAATAAGACAAAATGTACAATTTAGCTTTATACGGACAAAATTGAAAGCGGAAGAAATGTACGCACACCGACTTAAACGCGAGTTAAAAGAGCAATCTTAAAAAAGAAATATTGAAAAAGTTTTCTGAGAATCAATTTAACAATCAAATCGGCATTTCTGGAGTTTTTCTATTTTACTCGAGGAAAAAGTAAAACGGATTTGGGCCTTCAATTTGAAAACTAATTTTATACCGTGAACACAGTCTGAAAATAGTCATTAAACAGTTCGTGAGGTGGCGTGAGATTCCAGGAGGAGTAAGAAAATGCTGGAGAAACGTCTGTAGGAAGTTTTTACTCTAATTAGCTATTAAGCTTAACAACGTAATGGCCGCATGTTCGTTGCCTTGAGGAACAAGAGAATCTTGCTACATCTGATACAAATAAGCAAAAGATGGGTGTATGAATATAAATATATATAATTCATTATAGTATTTAAATTAAAACTGGATATATAATAATTCGAAATATCGATAAGTTATTATATCATTTATGATTTATTATATACTAAAAATAAAAAAATTTAAATATTTTTTCAAATATGCTTATTACAGAAAAAATACTCTCGAATTGTTATTAACAATTACATTAACAATTATATTAATAATGGTACTGTCAATAATAACTATGGATCTTTCATGCAAACTTTTTTTATTCGTAAATCAATAACATTTAACATGTTACTTTAACAAATTATTTTTAATTATTTAAAAATGATATTTATTAGAAATCCAAGTACTTAATAAATAATTCATATAATTAATTATTTGAGTGTAATTATATATGATACATTATTCAATATTTAAATTTATATTTTCCTTTTAAAAATGATTCTAAATTCTAAAAACATATTCTTTTATTTATATTGACAATTTTCTATTAACGTTCCTTATAAACTATATCGATTATATTATAACTATGTATATAATATAAATCTGTTAAAAAAAGAGTCTAACCAATGAATTTAAAAATAATGGTTTAAGAATCAATTATTATCATACTGTTCATAATTCTGTAAATAATAAGTTTTAAATAAATAAATAAAATAATTATAGTTATTAAAATGGAGTAAAGATTGTATTTATTTCACATATATATAACTATTGTTCTACTAGCGCTGAACTCAGCAAATGGTTTCTCCTGTGCTCTCTAGGTAACCGAAATTGTTTGAGTTCATTGTAGAATTCCCATTTAATCTCCTGAAGATTCTCTAATACCTAATCAAGAACTTGAAATTCGCTTGTGATGAACCAAATGATATCTAATAAACATGCCTCACTTGTATCTACGTCTCATAAAATGAGAATGAAAATTTTTTAAATACAGCATAATTATTAAAGTTATTTAAATATCTAATTGTATTATTTTATTTCAATATTCTTAATTTACAATGGCATTACTTTATTTCAGTATTAAAGTTTATATTCCTCTTATTATAATTTAAATTGTTTTATCTTTTTTTTTTATATTAATTATGTTTATAAAATATCTCAGTATTTATTAAAAGTTTTCTTCGAATTCATGTGATCGTTTTCGATAGGAAATAAAGAACACAGTCTATCACTAAAGCAACAATAAAGTCTATTGAATTAAAAACGAGAATTATAGTTTTATCCAAGATTGCTCTACATTTTACAGATATTTAATTATTTTATTTATATGATATATATTGCAATCAAAAATACTTTTCTTAACCCAATTTTTTAATTTAATTATTGGTTTAAATGTAGTTTTTCCTCGAAAATTTAGTATACTATATAGTTTCTATTATCCACCATCTGAAAACTAATTCTTTCATGTCTTTAATAAATATTATTACAATAATTCTTGCCTTTAGATTTATGATTAAAACTATTATTTCAATATCAAGAATATTACAATTATCAAGAATAGAACATTAACATATAAGTTAATTTTGTTTTAAACAAGTTATTTAAACATATTCATTATATTTCAAAAATTTATTGAAAATTCTATAAGATACATACGATTTAAAATAAATTAAAATAATTTAATTGTTTTATTATATTATACTATTAAACACATTATTATATATAATTTTTCATTAATAAATAATAATTTTTCAAATTATACTAATGACAATATTATTTTAATAATATCGTTAAACTGTTATTAATTGTTATTAATTCAACAAAATATTTTGAATATTATTGCCCAAGCTAAAGAATTTTGACAGTTCTGTGTATGAAAAAAATCATATATAATTTCAAATCTTTAAAATTAAAAGCTTAATTTAATTAAAAGCTCTATAATATTATATTTTTTTCAAAAATGAATGAACTTATACCCTAATGAACTTTATTATCATAGCATTCAAATATCAAGATTAATAGTTCATCTTAGAAAACTTCATAGATTATGGATATTTATCTTTGTTAATGTATAATTTTCGGGTCATAATGATTTAGAATAGACAATATAAACTATTTTTATTATTATTAATTATAGGCCAATATATGGGAGTGTGTTTATGTGTTTGAAGATAATATTTGAGTATCTAAAGTAGCCTAAACTAGTTTAAAATTTCGAAGCTTTATAGTATACCGTTTCATATATGTTACACCTATATAATATAGAAATATTTACAATATAAATAATATAGTATTGCAAAATGTAGTAGATAATATACTTTATAATATAACTATACTATATAATAGTATTTTTTTAAAATGGAAATAATTTAAGTATATAATTAACATTATTTATTAGTTCGAAAGTGTGTAGTCTTATTTGCATTGCATAATTTAATATTTTATAATTTTTATTAAAAAATACAAGAATTAAAATTACATTAACAAGATAGTAATTTAATAATTCACTATTATTATTAATAAAATTAAAAATCTTCTTTAATTATTATAGCAAACGCATTTATTGAAAAGTTTACAAAAACCATTTCGTCCTTGGCCTTGACAGTTCCTACGACAATGAGGTTCACAATTCTGCGTCACTAACAAATGTCATTAAAAACTGACAAACTCATTAAAAAAAGACAACAACATACAACTGACAAACAATAAGATATGAATATCTTGAATTATATCTTATTTTAAATTGTTGATTTCATTGATATCATATTAATGTCTGTGCTTTTTTTGCACGAATTCTGGAATTTGCAAAAAATTTGTTTATAAATAATTTGATCAAATAAAAAATAATTTATTTACTATTATAAATGTAAACGTGGTTATTTAAATATAATTAAAGAACTTTATATTCAATGATAATTTCTAATAACTATGAAATTTAAAAACGGTGATTTTATTTAAATTTACTTACTGTTATCTGCAATTATCGAAATTGTAAATATTAATAAAAGGAAATATAAATGTTTTATCATTGTATTTGATAAATTATAAACCTGTTTGTACGTTTGAAAATATTCATTTGCATTCAATCATATATCACAAGTTCAACGTAATAAATATTTATTACTTGCAATCAATTAATTTATTAAATATTTTAAAGCTATACTTACATTTAAGTAATAATCAAAAAATATAAAGATAAATTTATATTGCTTTAAATTAAATAAAAATCAATGACAACATTACACATAAATCCATATGCATAATTTTTAAAGAGAAATAATAAATCGAGAATTAAAGTTTAGCTTAAAGAAATAAAATTAATCTTATTTCAGTGCAAGAAGAATATTTTTAGCTCAAATAGATTAAAAAAGTTCCATTTTATGTTTCCGATAATATATATATATTTTTAAAGATAATTTGGTAAATAAGAATGTAGTCGACGATAGAAAGTTATAAAAATATTAAATATCGGTAACGGAAAATTAGGTATAACAGGGATTTTTACCACGTTTTTCTTATTAAACACTATTTGCTTACTGTTAGCAAATACTGTTTCGTATTTTAGAGCAAATTTTAAATTTATAAAAGAAAATTAAATATTATTAAAAAAATTTCATTTAAGATAGGCAAATAATACATATGCATATAAATAATAGATTAATCAGCAATCATAATAATTATATAAAAATTCAAAGAAAATACTTAAAAATTTTTTCTTAAAAAAAATTCTTATATTAATAGCAAACATAAATATTAATAATGAACGATAATGAA